AAAAAAAAAAAAAAAAAAAGAAAATCTTTGCCATTCTGATAATGAAAAGTAATATTTCAATGACTGGATAGCCATTTGTGTTTATATGCACATTCCTTTGATTTGGAATTTAAGCATTTTTTTCATAAGTTTAGATGATTTTTATACTTCTCTTTTTATGGAATGCATTTTATTTGAATATTTGAAATAATAATTAAGAAGAAACAGGTAACCTCTGCCAGTCTGAAAGGATATTATTTCATTTCCTTTCAGAAAATAACTTACTTGCTTCTTTTTTTCAAAATCTTGAAGAATCTCATCTGGAAAATCTTGGTCATACTGTCAAGCTCCTTCCTATGAAGCTTTCAGATAAAGAAAGCCCTATTGGACCTTCTCTTAAATCAGAGATGCTTTTTCTATCATTTGTTTCTCTTTGTGTTCTGATGAAAGAGTTATTTATAGGAAACCTTTGAGTAATGATGCTCCATCCCCTCCTAACATTCATGCCTCTTAGGAGTTGAACACTATTGAATAGTTGAGCAATCGTTTTAGCAAATGCATATACCTGTTGATGCTTACATCTTTCATTATCCCCTCTCTGAAATTGTATGATTTAACTTCCTCCAAGTACCTATGAAAATTTCAGACTAATACGTCTAGAAGCACTTACTCAGGATTCTATTTATTCTCCAGGAGTGGAAAGAGCAATGATATGGGCAATTTGCAGGTCTAGGCTCTAGACAAGGTTGTCCTTCTGACTAAAAGTTTAGAGTAGAAGAGATTCCTGGTCTCCTGCACCTGATTGAGCACCTTAAAAATGTGTAGGGTTCTAATAGAGAGCTCTAGCATTCTGTTTTTCATTGAGTACATCACTGCTGTTGCAGTCACCCTTTATCTCAGATACACTTGGGCTTGGGGAGCGAAGTCTTTATAGGTGATTTCATCCTGCAAACCATTTTTTTTTTTTTTTTTTTTGTGGAACCAGGGATTGAACTCAGAACCTTGAGCTTGCCAGGCAAGCACTTATTCTACTGAGCTGTCTCCCTGGCCCCCTGAAAACCATTTGTGATGCGTGCCCTAGTGATGTTCTTGCTCTCAGGTGATTACACAAAGCTAATTGTTCGAAAGAATATGAATTGTGTGAAAGGGAGGCATTAATACATGACCTTGGCTGTCCCCCAACACCCTGGCCTGGTGCTGTTCCTGGAAGCCACAGTCTACCCTTTTCTGAGCACTTCCCCTTTCGTTTGTTCTGGGAAACTTTGCTAGTGCCAAGTGATGTGGAGAGTAAATCCCCTATGGCTATTAAAGAATCCCTTATTCTTTTCTAAATCTCTACTGTTTTTTCCAGTCAACTAGTAAAGACTTGAATATGATGTCAAGAGATCAGTTTCAGGTTTTTTTTTTAAAAAAGGTTTAGATTTTTAAACTCTTTCATCACCACTGTCTCCCTTTAGAGCTCTTTATTTTGATTTTATATGTCTGTTCTTTTGCTGGGTGCTTTTCTGTTCTTGTTTAGCTTATACTGTTTTATTCTGGAGTAAAACATCTTCTGTGATCAAAAATTGTCTTCAGATAGCTGAGCTTACCAAGCAACAGAGGTGGAGTGGAGCAAGGACACAATGGAGCAGTTTAGGGAGAAAGGGCAACAGTTTTGGAATTATTACAAATGACTGGAAACCTATTCTTTTCCTGAATTACATTTGAGAATAACTTTTTTTATTGACAAACAAATAACAATGAGACAGTTACTGTGCCATTAATAGGACAGTTTCAATAATTAATACATTGTATATTGTTATCTTCTTAGTGGTTATCCATAGTACAAGAAGCAGACAGGATATCCTGTCCAAACACTATTAGTACAAATCTTTCTTCTCATTGAATTAAGCGAAAATAGCTGTATATCTATTCTAACTACTCTGTATATACAAATACAAAATGGTCCTTCTTTTGTATCCTTTTCTTGTTTAGTCCTGTCAGAGATGGGTATTCTATTGGCATCTAAATACTGTAGGTGAATGAATTCAGCAAAACAATCCAACACAATCCAGCAGTCCATAATAGTAGTGGGTTATCCACGGAAGTTGTTGACTTGAGCCTTTCATAGCTCAGCATATTAATATGGATTTACTTTATATACCTCGTTTTTATACTTTCTGCTGAATGGCTAAGATCAAGATAAAGCAAGACCTATATAACAAGAAATGTAACTTTTGTATCTGATAAGGTCAGTCAAGTCCCCTCAGGATTTATCCTGTAACCCTGTACTGCATTTTGTAGATCCTTTGTCAGTGTCAGCCATGTGGATTAGTCACGGCCATTGCTTGACCAATTTGCTCTCTGTGAAAGTCTTAGAGAATGTTTCTTCTCCATGTGACTCTCCTCAGGCACACTATACATCATCAATCACTTTCCTCTGTGGCCCCATAATCTCCTTGATCAGAAAATTTGGGACACAACTAAGTTACATGATTGTTACAGTATAGATTCTCCTATGTCCTGAGTCTTCACTGACCTTGAAAGGCTAGGGCCAAAATGTTGGCTGACCTTGTAGCCCTTCCTTTTCTCTAATTTTTGATCTGCAAACTTAGGTTGTTAACTCTCCAGAAGAGAAGCTTATTATTACCCTGAAACATATGCAGTTCGGTTTATCCTGTCTGCATATCAAACATCTTAGGCATAACATGGAACAGGTATTTTCCATCAAGTATAGATATGTTAAACTTTAAGTCCCTACAGATTATGCAGAAAAGATAATTAAAAAATATGAATAAACACATATTTTTTCACGGAAATTTAGAAATCTAACCATATACAGCATCGTAGCAGGACAGTCCTGTGACATTTTTTTCTTGTGTATTTTTTTCATTTATTACCCTTTATTTAAAAAAAAACTTTTACTTGAGAGACAGTATGGTAATAATTAGCATGTCTCATCTGAGAATAACTTTTGTGTTGTTTCCAAAAATTAAGGAAAAGATCATCAAATGGTTTTTACCTATTCTGAGGCTTTTTGTGTCCACACTGGCAGGGCGTCTCCAGGATTAACTAGATAGCTGAGAGCATGGGAACTGAATTTTATCTTCAGCTCTCCCACTTATGATTGGTAACCTTAACTAACCACCTACTCCCTCTGGCTCTAATCTTATCAAGTGATAAATGGAAATAATTGGACCATCTAACCCCCTGGGATGGTTGTAGGGAAAAATAATGGAAATGATTATAAAGTTACTGTGCCATAACAGTGTAGAATGGGTGCTTATTATCACAGCCATCCCCAGCTTTTAATCTCTGGGATCATCTGAGGACTTAAATAGATGATGAGGACTTTTAAGTGTATGATTTGAACACGCCCCTGATTTTCCTCCACCCAGGTGCTATTCGAACTTGCCCGCTATCACGCCCCCTCCACCATCTTCCTGGACGAGCTGGAGTCAGTGATGAGTCAGAGAGGCACTGCTCCCGGGTAACAGATGAGTTTTTTGGTCATCATTTCTCCCATTTTGTAAGTGTGTTTGATGGTCGGAAGCCCATCGACATTTACCAGCAGAATGAGCCTATTAATAAGCCCACAAATCTTCTGCAGACACATGGAAAGGCCTTTAAATTAGATCCTGTTAACTGAATAGCTGATTTAAGTAGTTTTTATCACCGGAGGAAATGCCATCCTCCCTCCCCTCCATCCCCGCAGAGTGGTTTTCAGGTCTGCGGATCATCCAGCCCCAGAATGCGAGGGTGCCATAACAGTGCTGCTAGCTCAAAATATCCGCCTGTGACGTGCTCTTCTGGAGCCAGACGGACAGGGTTTGCCCACTGAGCCACTGCGATGGGCAGAAGCCTCGTGTCCCTCCCTCACTGTGCTCCTCAACAGTATGAGGCCAGGAAGCCTGACCTTGGGTTATGGCTCAGTATGTCTGATTTTGAATGTCACAAGTTATTTCTAATGATTGTGTCCCCAGAAGGAAGGAACACTTCCCAGACTGTGATAAGCCTTCTGTTTAGGCTTTCAAAGGGCCAAGCAAGGTTTTCTCTTTCTTTTTTTATTTTTGCTTGGATTTAAGACTGGCTTCCTATCTTGTTCAGAGATATTTTTTGAAATTTTTTTTACTAAATTTGGTGACTGTGACTTAAAAAGCAAATGTTGAAAAAATCTCAACACAGCTGCATTTCTTAGTGACCTTTCATGGTCTATTGTTAAGGCAGAATGAACAATAACAAAAAGTAAGTAAGTAATTTGCTTGTTGGGTGTATAACTAGAACATAACTTAGGGAATTTTGCTCATTAGAAGTCATTTTCCCAGGAGGGAAAAACAAGTCCAGGGAGTGCCCAAGTCAGATGGGGTCTATACAGTTCATTAAAATGTATCATTTTCCAGGGCTTACCAGTTGTGGGCTGCAGTACTTTTTCTCCATATACTGAGTTTGATAGGGGCGAACAATAGCACACTAGCTCGAGGCCCTCCGACCGTGCTGGGAGTCATCCTCTGCTGAGACAGGGTCCTCATGGCCAACCTCTTCCTAATGACCTATGTACCACTCCTAAGGCTTATTTTGTTGATTTTCTGCCCCAGGGTTTCCCACAGGTTTGACTGGACCAACATGGAAGGAAGCCTTGTCAACCTTGATTTGGCTCTAGCCTTGCCCTGTGTTCTGGTTTCCGTGTCTTTATTTTAAGGCTCATGTAGTCTTCAAAGGAAATGTAATCCTTAGAGGATCAGGGATTAAGGGCAAGTGTTTTGAAGTTTGCTTGGATCATATTATATTAAAAAATCATGCTCTTGGCTAAATCCTATTTTTAGTATATGTGCTGCCGAAGTGAGCACTCTTGGCTAAATCCTGAATACACATAGAACTATTGTTCTATGATGACATGATGTTCTATGTGGAAAATCCCACACCAGGGAATTTTGTTTTATACCGTGAGAAAGTATGCTGTCTTAGAACATGACAAATGAGTAGTGAGGGCTATAGACCCTTAAAAGCTGTGTACAGTTGAACATCTCCGATATGAAAATCCAATATCTGAAGTGAATCAAAATTTGAAACTGCTTATGTGATGATATGATGCTCTATGTGGAAAAGCCCACACCAGGAAATTTTGTTCCAGTACATAAGATTATTTAAAATATTGTGCATACTAATTTTAATTTCTGTGTATAAGGGCTATATGAAACAAATTAATTTTGTGCTTATACTCCCATGTACTCCTTGGGTTCCATGTCATGGTCTTGCTTCTTATTAGAAGAGAATAAAACTGATTCAATATATTACAAAATGTGATAAAAAATACAATGAATTGTTAATTTAAAAATGCATTATAGGAAAAGTCACATTGCTTTTAATCTCTTTCAAAATACTCTCCTCTGCTATAAACACACTGATGTCATCATTCTTGCCACTTTCTGAAGCTGTTCAGGAAGTCCTCTTTCATGAGTATCTTTAGTTGTGCTGTCATGGTTGCCTCAATGTTCTGAAAAACATTTAATTTTTGACTTTGGGAAAGGTCCAAGAGTCACACAGTCCCAGATACAGTGAATAAGGTGAATGAAGACACATGTTGATGTTTTTATTTGACAGAAATTACTATAAACATTTTGGATTGATTCAGGACATTGAGCCAGCCACAGTGGCACAATGTGAAGACACTTCAAAAGAGCGTTTCTAGAACTGCTTCAGAAAGTGGCAAGAATGAGAAGATAAGTGTGCTTGAACTGAGAGTGAGTGTTGTGAGAAGAATTAATGCCAATGTATCTTTTACTGTAATCATTTTAAAATTTGAACATCTACTTTGAGATTACACAATTAAAATATATATACGTGTGTGTGTGTGTGTGTGTGTGTGTGTGTGTGTATTTAGACAGGTTCTACAGGGTGTCACTGGTAGATTGGACTTCTAGTGATGCTCCTGTTTACAGCCTCCCAAGGGCTGGGATTATAGGCGTGCACCACCACACTCAGTCTCAATCACTGTCTCAGCATGCCCCAGGGGTGGGGCTGGCATGGCAGACTCTGCTATCAAACTCCTCCTCCCTGTGTCTGCCTAAGCAAGTGCCTTAATCCACTGAGTTATTTGGCCAGCCCTAAAGTGTATATTGTGTTGTACCAAAAAACCACTGTATTTTGTGTTCACACCTCATAGTTCATCTCACTTAACGATTTTGAGCTATAAATGATACTATAAGAAGTACTGTGGTGAAAGAACTTCTGTGTGTGCTATGTAAATTAAAGTGATTTTTCTCAGTTATGCCATTGTTTAAAGGGTATGTAATGCTGCAGGTAGACACAACAGAGCTAGAGTTAATATACCAGTGACACTCAGTTATTTTCTAGCTCACTGCCAACCCTAGGTTTTCTTTTAAATAACATCTTTATATTTATTTTTGTTCTTTCTACTACTTCCTTTGTGAAAATATTGTAGTGCCATATTTTCTGTTTTCTCTAAGCCTAGCCTGGATGGCTCCATGTGCTCTGAAAACCGAGCTCTCTCCACAGTCACCTTTGTGTGAGGGAGGGCAAGCCTCCACCCCTTAAAGGAATCCCATCTCCTTGTTTCTCTGCAGAGGAGAACACGAAGGCAGCCTGAGGATGAAGACAGAGCTGCTGGTGCAGATGGATGGGCTGGCGCGCTCCGAGGATCTTGTATTTGTCTTAGCAGCATCAAACCTGCCTTGGTAAGAGATCATGAATGTACATGCAGGACGTATTGTCTTTTCTTTTCTTTCTTTCTTTTTTTTCTTTCTTTTTTTTTTTTTTTTTTTTGCAGAACTGGAGATTGAACTCAGACCCTTGTGCTTGTCAAGGAAGCACTTATTCCGCTGAGCCATCTCCCTGGCCCCTGGATGTATTTTCTTGTGCCACCAAACACAGATGAAGGTTTTATAGTGACCACTTTAGGCAAAGCCTGGTTGGTTCCAGCTCTGTGAGATTAATTTATAGAACAGGCCAGGGTTATCATTGGAGATCTATCTATCTATCATCTATCTATCTATCTATCTATCTATCTATCTATCTATCTATCTATCTATCTTTTTTTTTCTTTTTTCAATGTACAGGGTCTCACTACACAGATCAGACTCATAGTGATTCTGTTTTCAGCTTCCCAAGTGCTGGGATTACAGGCACCCGCCACCATGCCCAGTCTGGATGGCTGTCTCAGTGCGCCCCGGGGGCAGGGCCGTTGTGGCAAGCTGGGAATGGAACCAAGGCTGCTGCGCTCTGTATAAGCAGGCACTTTAGTCCACTGAGCTATCTGTCTGGCCCTCACTGGCAATATTTAAAATAGATATTTTGAATTTAAAGCTAAATTAGGTAAATCAGGTCTCTGCATCATCTCCATCCACAGATCCAACCAACTTCAGATCAAAAATAGTGGAAAAAATTGTGTCTACATTGAACATGGATCTACTTTTTCCCTCTTGTCACCATTTCCTAAACAATAAGCTATCTCCTATCATGTACATTGTATTGTAAGCAATCAAGAAATGATTTAAAGTATATAGAAGGATGCACACGGATCATGTACTAGTGCTAAGCCACTTCATATAAGGGACTGGAGTTTCTTCAAATTTTGGTGTCTGTGGGGGTGGGGTGGGGTTGTGGAGCCAGCCTCCCGGTCCTCTTGGGGTGCCTGTACTAGGTTCAAATTAAGTAGTACTCTGATACAGAACTCTAAAATGCTTAACCATCTCCAGGTAACAAAGAATATTCCAGAAATAACATGTTTGAATTCTATTAATATTAAAATTAAAGTTTTTAAAGAGGAAAATCTTTTTCTTAGTTTTCTTCAGAAACAGAAAGCTAAATAATCTCTAATTGAAGATATAATCTATACTCAGAGTCTTTTATTCAAACTATATCCCAGAGTGACTTAAAAACAATTCTAGAAGGAGAACTGGGAAATAAGAGATGTTGAGTATGGAAAAAACAATATTTACTTGGAGAATATATTTTGAAATAATTATAATCCCTTTATAATTTTGCGAATAATTTTTCACATACATAGTTTCTTTAGAGCCACAAATGAGGCAAGAGGCAGATAAAGAAAACAATGCTCTTCCTGTTCTCACAGGGGAACCAAAAGCAAGGAAGGTAAATCCACCCAATGTCAGCAGCAGCCTTTTTTTTTTTTGGAACGAGTAATGAAACATCAGCAGTAGTCTTGCAGCAGAGCTGACTTGAGACTCTGCCCACGGCCTTGCCCTGGTACCTCTTTCTACATTCAGATATGAAAAAAGAAAATTCTTCTGTCATATTCTGATCAGCTGGGTCCCAAACAAGAAGTGTCTGAGAAGAAATAAGGATGCTCATGTGCAGTCTGTTGTTTGCAATCTATTCATCGTCTAAACCTGGCTCCACCTCCCTATGCATTTATAAGGCGTTCTTTGTTGTGTTCAGGAGATCTGCATCACACAATTTGAGGACAGATATTTGTACAAAGTATTAATGTGGAGCTCAAACAGAGAAGCACGGGGCTGGGGAGATGGCTCAGTAGAATAAACCCTTGCCTGGCAAGTGGAAGGGGCTGAGTTCAACCCTCAGTTCCACAAAACCAAAACAAACAAACAAACCTCAAAAGCAAAGAAGTGCTATTTAAATATGCTAAGTAAAATAAACATTACTAGAGGCCATTGTTTTGGAAT